TACATTTCCAAAAGTATGACCAATGACAGGTTTTCCATAACTAAATTAAATAATAGGTGACTTATTATAATAGGTACTTCTATCCCTAAGAAGCGATCATCAAACAATCCATCCGTATGTAATCGTTATGTAATCGTATAAAAGTCTACTACTCTCCTTTCCCTATATATTTCTTAAATAAGATATTTATACACACACACACACACATATACATAATCATACATATAATAAATACTTTTCTATATTCTGTTTATTCATCAAATGTTTCTCATTAGAGAAAACCAACTAATTAATACTAAAATTTATTTATATTTAAAAGTATCTTATATATTAATATACGATACTTTTAAATATAAATAAATTTTAGTATTAAAACTTTTGATTTTTTTTCTGTAGTTTAGTTTTTATTTGAATTATTTAAAATAACTTATTCTTAGTATAGTTAGATTTAGAAGAATACTAGCAAACCAGTGAACCAAATGTTCACCAAAACCTGATTTTAAAAAAAAATGTATTTAATTAATTGAGAACTTCGGAGATTTTGTGTGGTTTCGTTTGAAATTCGTGATTTCTCGAAAACCGGAAGTGCTACGTTACTCAAATCCGGTTTGTAGTCTTATCAGAATATTCTTAACTTATAACTTAAATATTCTCTTTATCTATCTCTTACGGTTAGGCCGCTGAAACAGCACCACAGACAGACAGACGGACTTGTCTAATAGATAAGAGATCATTCTCAACTACCCATATTAGTCTTATGAACGCACATTCTATAACAGTACCAAGAAAACTCCATTTAAAATTATAAAGATCCCATGCGTTGTGGTACTCATAGGTTCTCTTACACAATGCTGGGTAAGTACATACTTGTTACTCACATCTCAGTTCCCACATACCTGCGCCGGCGCTTATGTACGGACGCACGGACAGACAGACCGTCGGGCCCACTTTCACTGATAGCCCTAGGATGTATGGATCTCATCGCCGGCTTACGCAACCGTTAACGATAGGAGCGTGCGAAAACGGCGTTACTAAGGGGTGCGTAATGAGACCAACCGCCAGCGTAACAAAGCTGATAGACAAATGAGTACAGACTATTTATAGGAAGATGTTGACTTTAAGTCTGTACAATGGTGTCGTTTGGGTCGGCTCTTCCCTTAGATTAAAACAAAAAGGATCAAAAGTGATCCACTTAAATTGTGGTGCATGACCATAATTCGCTTTAGTCACAATTGGACATTCAAACACGCTGCAGGTGCACTCAATATAACAATATTGCGTATATTCTGTGTTATAAAGATAAAACAATGCCTTCGATGCTTTTATAAAGAACACATCATCATCATCATCATATCAGCCGTACGACGCCCACTGCTGGACATAGGCCTCCCCCAAGGATGTCCAAAACGATCGGTCCTGCGCTGCCCGCATCCAGCGTTTTCCCGCGACCTTCACCAGATCGTCGGTCCACCTTGTAGCGGGTCTTCCCACTGAGCGTCGTCCGGCACGCGGTCGCCATTCGAGAACCTTTCCGCCCCAACGGCCATCGGTTCTCCTCGCTATGTGTCCCGCCCACTGCCACTTCAGCTGTGCTATTCTTCGAGCTATGTCGGTGACTTTAGTTCTCCTACGGATCTCGTCATTTCTGACTCGATCACGCAGGGAAACACGAAGCATAGCTCTCTCCATTGCCCGCTGGGCGACCTTGAGGCGTCCTATGAGACCCATAGTAAACGACCACAACTAATTCAACTAAAGAACACAACTAATTCAAAATCAAATAACAAATGGCTCAGCATCACTATTCATTCGAAAAACTGTAAAAACATATTTTTTCTCAAAAATCACAGCTTGTCGTGAATGTTAATTACGTAATCGCCATTTTGTTGTTATTAAGAAAAGGACAACTATATAGCTCAGCCGTACGGACTCGGAAAGAGGGTGTTTATGAAAATTTACGTCACCAGTTGGCGCCACTGTGTCGTGAGGTCTTTTGTATGAAGTTTTTAGCGCCAACTCCATAGACCAGATTCATAGACTATGAGATCATATGCGATTTGACGGATGATTAGACCTTTCGTCTCAGTACTGCCACCTGGTGCCTGTCATTCCAAAAAACCTTTTCTTTCGCTCGATTGAACGTTTATATACAGATGTGTGCGTGTGTGAGAGTTGCTTATGTAGTTGAGTCGGAGCATATTTTATTTGATGCTAGTATGAGCGTACCGTATCTTCCCTTTTTGTTTTAATCTAAGGCTGTTCCCCAAAATATGGTTTAGTATCGATGACTGCTACATGCGTCATGCTCGTGAACAGGTGTTACCAGTGGGATTGCTGCAATGAACCTGGTTTTTGCGAGTCGAGAGCGATTCGGCATTGTTGTAAGTGTCATCATCTCGGTGTAACACGGTTCCACTCCACATTAGATGTTTTTCGACATCTATACAGGGTGTTACAGAATTCCGAAATAAAATTTGTAGGTATGTATTCCGAAATAAAAATTTGTAGGTATCTGAGCGGGGCGCAGGGGCGCCTGGGGGAGTGAGGGGGGTCTGTATAGGTAGTAGTAATCGTACGCATTTATAGGCTTGTCATAGGCAGGTGTAAAACTATGTTTTTATTAATTTAATTCGAAAATAAAAGTGGTCTAAAAGGCGTCAAACTTTCGTAGGTAATTCTATACAAGGAACACAACCAAACCCTAAAGTTTTATTTCGGACTTTTGTCACACCCTGTATATATAAAACTCAAAGGTGACTGACTGACATAGTGATCTATCAACGCACAGCTCAAATCACTGGACGGATCGGGCTGGCATGGAGTATGTTATGACGTAGGCATCCGCTAAGAAAGGATTTTGATCAATTCAAGAATGAAAGTTTCAATGAAAACTTTGTCAATTTCAAACCGATCGGGCTGTGACTTTGCATGCAGGTATAAGAAGAATCATAGATGAATGTCATTGTGTATAATACAAGCCTGAGAACAAAAACTGTAGTCTACACTTCAGCTCTACACCGAAGCGAAGCGAGGGCGGGCCGCTAGTTCACTCATAAGTGTTGTCATAGCCTAAACTGAATAGACTTTGTCGAATTTTAATTTATTTAAGTTTACATTCGAGGAGATGGATGGCGCAAGTGGTTAGCGCGTTCGGCTGCAATCGTTGAAGTTAAGCAACTTTCGCAGTGGTCGGCTATTGGATGAGTGATCAAAAATTTACTATCTCTGGCCCCTCCGTGCGTAAGGCACGTTAAGCCTTTTGTTGGTCTCGGCTGCATCTGTAGTCGTTAGCACCCGCAAATCCGCACTGGGCCCGCGTGGTGGGTAATGGAACATTCTCCCTATTCTATCTACAGGGAATGCCTGTGCCCCAACAGTGGGGACATTAATAGGCTGATAAGATTGGGCCATGACTCACCACGCGGGCCCAGCGCGGATTGGCGGGTGCTAACGACTGCAGGTGCAACCGGGACCAACTTAAGGTGCCTTCCGAAGCACGGAGGAACTCGAGATAGAATTTTTTGGTCACCCATCCAATGACCGACCACTGCGAAAGTTGCTTAACTACGACGATCGCAGCCGAACGCGCTAACCACCTGTAACATCAAGCTCCTCTATATATTTTATTCGTTTTTACAAGCTTTTATTTAACTTGCAATGTATGTTTGTTCGGGTGAAATCTTACAACTCAATTTTAAAGCACTTGCCCTCAACCGATTGAGCTGAAATTTGGTATGCACGTTCAGTTTGGATGACAATGCATGATTTACAGTGTGACGTCATTCTAAATCCTACATGGCGGCATACCCAAAATGGCGGACCAATCATTTTTAATGCATTCCTACAATATGGGTATCAAATTAAAGGGCTTGCTGAGAGTAACTCGAACAAAAGTGACGTCACTTTTTTTCTTTTTAGCGCATTTAAATAAAAGCTTGTTTTTAAAAAGGTTTTTTTTACCTTAATTTTTTATATTCAAATGCATTCATTCTCGGGTTGAAATCGAACACACTCTTCACTCTTTGGGTGAACATATTTACATGCGTCGCTGACAAAGCAATACCTGCTATCTTAATTTTTGGAGATGAAGAGAATTTAGAGGCAGTCTCCTCCTGAAGGAAGATTCTTTCCGTCTAGAAAACTACTAGTCATTTGCTATTTTCCGGCTTGCTGCCCTTAAGAGCCCTTTCACATTTTTTGCAAATAATCGTAATTTTTGAGCGTTTACCCCCTTAGAAAAGATTTTGACTATTTCCAATAGAAGTAAACAGTAGATTTATTCTTCCTATTGTAAGTAAATGTAGAATATTTGAAAATACTATTTTCCTTTTTTTGTACTGATCGTTTTACTGCAGCTAGTTTGCGGAAAAAACGATAATATGCACAACTTCAAACGCCTCAATCTCTCAATAATGTTCAATAAATTAGATCAAAGTAATTACTATGACATCAGAAATATGTTTTTGTTGTAACATAATGTAATAGAATATTGATTTTCCATCTCAATAATTATCAAAAAAAAACATCTAACCTCCGTGAGTTTTCTCAAAAAAATAATGCAGGTTTACCTCGTATTTTGATATTGAATTAAATAGAATAACTATCAAAAACTTTCATAAAACTAATCTACCATCATTGAACTACTGAAATATGTATATATTTTTATAATTAGTTCATTAATAATTATTTTATAAGACTCGAAACATCATCCGTAAAATGCAATATATACTAGTGCAAATCTACCTACGCGCCGATCAGAACGGAAAGGCCGCATTTTTGTAAAACCCGAATCTGCGACTAACAGCATACGTAGTCCAAAAAGTTCCTCAGTTCTAGTCAGATTTTGCACATTGCTAACATTAAAGGAGTTTGCAAAGTTAAAATAACCAAAAATATGTTCAAAAACATTTTTATTTCATCTTTCAATACAAATAACTTACAAAAATTACGTACATTATTACAAATATTTTGTACATATTTCAAGATCATACATTACAGGTTCGTTCTTTACACATCGTGTTTACAAATACTGTGCCTATGAGAATATTTTGATGCTTCGCAACATTTTATTTTGATAGAGTTTATTGTCTCTGCTATAAAAATATTGCAAAGTAATTGATGTTCTACTTACAATGAGCTTCTTTATTGAGCATTTTTTATCTTCAATATCTACATTAATTTTTAAAAAGTTTACTACGGTTATATTTTCTTGAACGTTGAATGATACATTTTTAATTAATTTTACAATGTTACATTTAAGGCAATCTTAAACTCTTAACTTTTTATTTACAATGTCATTGTGAACACACGCGATACAAAACAATAGATTAGATTTGTACTTAAATTTTCATTTACACAATTTTATTACATTATTAATTCAGTACCTACCTATAACTTACGCGTCTAAGTGGCAAAGTGGGATATGTCTTAAAAATACATTTTTAAACAAGATATGATAATATTACAAAGCTTTAGATATGTTATTGATTAAGCGAACATTATTGCGATTCATATATATTACTTCCAAATAATTTAAAGCTGACGTCGTAATAATATATTAACAGCTATTTCTATAGCGCCCCAAGGGTAAGAAAGAGAGGCATAGTGGGGATCCATCATTAGGCGTAGAAAGGCATAATCGATTGAATGACGTACGCGACACATTTAAAAGCGATTAAACCCAAATCACTACAAACAAATTTGTCGAAAACTCTTTGATACGACGATCATTGAAGCTTTCATGGCAAAAGCGGACGCCCGCTGCTCGCGCGTCACAACACAATTAATGACACGCGACGCGGGCATCCTGACACCTGGTATTTCGCTAATTCATTACTTACACCTTTCTACAACAGCGCACCCATTTGGTGTGATGTCCAAATTCTCAAAGCGAAAGTGAATGGAAGACGATTATTCTTGCAACGGTTGTCTTAAAATACTATGGCTTTTAGGGGCTATGAAGAACTATTAGTCAGTCTTTTCATCGGAGATGTCACTAGGAGGGCTCATGGGGCACTAGGAGAACCCAAGATCACGATATGATACAGTTCTTATCGTTCTGCGCGTTCTTCCTCTGTCTCTCGCGCTTGGCACAGGCCACCGCGTCGTTGGGCACGTACGATATCCTAACTCCACCGTACGCTCTTCTAGTCGGCAGCGTGTAGGATTCCGCGGAGGATGACGACGACGAGCACGTACTGCAGTAACTGCTCGCGTCCTCATCTCGCACTTTCTCTTTTCTGGTGGGCTCGTCGGGCTCAAAGGCTTCGTTGTCATCCCCACAAAACCGAACGGTCCTCCCGCCTCTGGGTTTTCTAGACGACTTCCCATCTACTAGAGTTAATTCTGGCATCGAGGAAGAATGTCCAGGAGTGACTACGGCTTGAGCCTCGACCGGATGCGGCGGTTTCCAATCTTCGGGTGTCTCGTCCTCCCTGGGTTCTTCCGAAGTAGGCGACGGCTGTATCTGGTGCTCCGTCATGGATTGCTCCATGCGAAGGTCTGCTAGGGCTCTGTCGAGACTGAGGCAAGCGTGCGGCGGAGGCGGGGGATGTGGCGGTGGGGATTCCGGCGCTAAGGAACAGCTGGGCTCCGAATCCGCGTCGATAGGAGGTGACGGTTCTCTTTGTGGCGTTCGAGGCGGCGATTTCGGGGATGGAGCTTTTCTCGGTCGCGGACCTCTCGCCGCTCGCGGGCCCGGTCCAGAGGAGTCTGACGGTGTTGGAGGTTCACCTTTTGAGCAAGCAATAGAGCAGAATATTGCGCCCTTGCGTGGCAGGAAGGGTCGGCCGAGCAGGCTGGCGCGGCACGTGTGGCAGGCGAAGCAGCGCTCGGTGGCGTGCCAGTGCTGGCCCTCGTGAGACATCTGGCCCTGGTCGACGCCGACGGGCTCGCCGCACGCGTCGCAATACTCGGCGAAGCAGCCGTCGAAGCAGGGCAGGCAGTAGGGTCTCGCCTCCCTCATGATGTATCGCTGCCCGCCCAGCTGCCGCGAGCACTCGGCGCATGCGAAGTGCTTCATGTGCCACGCGCGCCCCTCCGCCTCGGTGCACTCGTCCGCCAGGATTATCTGAGGACAAAACACGGTGCAGTTATTCACTGGTATAAAATAAATGGATTCTCATTATGGACTAGAGTTATACTTCCATGATGGACTAGAGTTATACTCCCATGATGGACTAGAGATAGGGAAAATAATAGAGGTAGGTAAATGAAAACCAATCAACGGGCACAATATTTATTAATTATGGTGAGAAATAAAGGTTATTATTGTTATAAATTTTATTATTTTTAAAGCATGTAACTGCTTGATGTTTAAATCTAAAGAAAATATAACTAGAAAAAATTCCACGCGGACCAGGCAGCAGACGGGACTCGAACCCGCACCCTTCGCAATCCGGGCGAATGCACTGACCAATTATGCTACCGCGGCCCTCACGGACCGCGTCGAAATTCTTCTAGCCATTCTTAAGCTGCAAGGCAGCGCCATCTCGTCGCATTATAGGTAACCCACAATGTCAAATGTTAGGTTATTATTATTAATATCACGGTTGGTTACAGCTAGGAGGTAAATCTCGCTTCGCTATGTCTTTATGTGTGTTATACTGAATAGATAGTTGGTCATATATTTAGTATACTCAATATTTTTTATATATTTGAGGCGCGGCGCATTAACGTAGGTATATAAAAAGGTTACACTATCCAAATGAGTTGTTATGATTAATTAATTATAAATTCGATTGCCGATCTGGTAAGGGATGCAATGGGGTAAATTTTTGTACATATTATGTATATTATTTCAAGGCAAAGAGCTTAATATCTAACTATTGATTATTTTCAGTTCGACCTTTACGCGTCAATTATGAAAGCCGTCGGACACTGAATAAACCAGGGGGCCAATCGCCTAACGGAAATGCTTTGGGAAACGCTAACGCTTACGATTTTATATTGTTATTTTTTTTAATATTGTTATTACCAATGCAAAAGAAAAAGAAAGAGCGCGAGGCATTTGAATACCTCATGCGGCTAGAAATAACAAAATAAAATCGTAAGCGTTAGCGTTTTCCAAAGCATTTCCGTTAGGCGATTGGCCCCCAGTATGTTTATATCAAGTTTAAGCAAATTAATGTAAACACAATGTTTCCTTCACTTCTTCTAGATTTCATGACATAGTTCACGTCCAATGTTTGTTAGTATAATTTATTAATCCCATAGAGTGGGGTGAACGATATAATTCGCCCGTTGACCTCTTATCAGTGTTTAGAAGGTTCATGACCTCAGTGAAATTTAGGTTTATCCAGTCTGACCGGCGACCGAAGTCACTGGCCGTAGTGAAGTGACCGAACAAAATAACCTATTAAATCAATCTTGTGTCTCAGATCTGTGGCGCTGACCCAATGTTGCCATTAATCATAAACCTATTCCCAATTAGGCCATAGTCCGGTAATTAATTAGTTGGATAAACAAGCCTAATTAAGCATTATTATTTATCGTCGCTATCATTGGCGAAGCTCGGTTTCGTACAGCGACCTGAGAGCTCAGGAAAGTCGCGGTGCGGAACAATGTGCCCCGTGGGAGCGGTTCCCACAGTTGGGGCTACATTTTGTTCGTTCATTAGTGCAGTGGTCGCCCATTATTAATATTTCAAAACGGTATTTTGTGTCAAGCAAGAGATGTGCGAGTGAGGAACACGCTCACCTGTTTCGTCAGCGGTTTAGCCACAGAATACAGAAAGAGGTTAGAAGGGTGACCACTGCACAGACTATTTGTTCTGTTTTTTTTTTCCTAAATGGCTTCGCACGGCTTATGCATTTAGCCAATGTCAAGTGTTAAAAATGTTTAAAAGTTCTAAAGCACTCGTGGTCAAAGTAATAAATCAAGTCAAAGTAAGTGGCAGTCAAGTCAATCCCCCTTTCCCTATGTTTCAGTAAATGTGTGGGGATTTACTGGAACCTCTCCGTGGACTTCTTGAGGGAACGTCGAAAGACACTTTCCGCTATTTTGTTTCACTTGCCAACACTTGTGCATGTTCCCGAACACTTAGTGGTTATCCACCATTATTAGACACTAACATCCGCCACAACACAATTTTTAACCGACGCAGTGTTGCCACGTTCAATTTAAAAAAATCGGGAGGCGTTATAGAAAAAAGCAGTAGATGTGTGGAAAGAGGTACAAGAGAAAACAGTAGATGCAGAGACGCTCCGATTTGCATTCCAATGTGTTTTATAAATGTTGTGCTTTTCATGTAGAGGGTTTGGACCATAACCCACCACGGTTTTCCAGTGCGGGTTAGTGGGTGGTTTCGCTGTGGCCTTGTCTGTTATGCAGCAGGATGCACCGCTTGCGGGAGGTTGGCTTGGGACCCGAAAGATGTAAAGACAAGACAAGATAGACAAGATGAGGCAAGATAGGATGATGATATTCGTAGGCTGGCTGGACTGGGCTGGAAGAGAGTAGCACAAAATCGGGAGCAGTGGCGTGCATTAGGGGAGACCTATGGCATTTTTATCATCAATTAAGTAAATAAAACACGTTTTAACGGGTCAAATGTACTGAATTAATTTATTTATTGACGTTTCGCATTCTTTGCAGGAATGTATCGTTAGAATAATATAAATGCACCTCAACATGCAATTTTAAAAAAGAAAATTATATTCTAAGAAAAACAGTAGATTCATGTAGGAAAACAGAATAACAGGAGAAATTTCAGAAAAACAGGAATCTCCTGTGAATTCGGGACACCTTGAACCTTGCAACACTAAACCGATGTCGCCGGCTCGCCCCCACTACACTTCCATCTAATAGATAATAGCCAATCAAATGACGCCACATCAAACATTGGAACCAATCAGTTAACCTCTTCGCGGGTGAATTATGAAAAATGTACCCCTGGACCTCATAAGGTTGGTCACGTGCAAAATTTGAAGTCTTTAGACTTAGCCGTTTGAACTGTGGCTTGGTATGTCAGTCAGTCAGTTTCTTCTTTTATATATTTAGATGATAAAGACAGCCTGTTGACAAGTTTATAAACAGCAAACATGAACAGGAAAGAAATCGATAGGATAATTTGATCTGAGATCCCCCTTAGATCAAATCCCCCCTATCGATCGCGGGGCCCTGGGCACTTGCCCAAAGTGCCCACTGGGAAAGAGGGGTCTGGGTATATGTATTCTATCCGTTACCCTAGTATCTCATAACACAAGCCTACAGTGGTCTACTGTAAGGTTGGGTTGCTTCCCCAGGCGGGCGCTCCAATCCGAGCGATAAATACGCCTACCTCTCTTGATTACTTCTCTCCTTAAGTCTCCTCATCAAATATATTCTAGCAGAATTTTTGCTAATGTCACTGTTTTACTAGAAATGTCCTTTAACGTCACTTGAACTGATAAGGAGTTGAATGTCCATTACGCGATACAGAGGAAAAACCGCAGCCTTGTGTGGACAACGAATCGTTTGCGCTAATTAAATAAACTGTTGCAACGTATTTAAAAGAGATTTAATACCTTAATTCGTTTTATCTCAGTTAATTGATGGAAACGAGCTCATTGTAAGGTGTGATGAGTGAGTTAAGATACTTTAACATTGTGTTGGATATTTGAAGGCATACATAAGTTTTTGATGGTTGCATTACGACAAAAACGAGTGTGCTTATGGGTGTACAATATAATAATAATTTATTGAAAAAAAAATAAAGTTTACAATGATATTAAACAATTTTAAGTTTACAACATTGAAATTATTATAGAGTTACCTACGGCTTCCACACTAGGACATGCCTGTATTGTGGCGACCGGACAAAATAAATAAATAAACAAAATTACGGTTTTTACTAGCGCTTACATATTTATAAAACTTTTTTTTTTATATATATATGTATGTACATATATACATTGAATTTATTAGCTGTAACAGAAAGAGTGTGCGCGCGCTGCTTTCTCTTGCTTATATCCCCCACTCAACTCCCGTACGCCTCGTCCGATCACACATTTCGTAACGCGTTCGCCCGCACCCTTCGCAATCCGGGCGAAATCAGGGCCGCGGTAGCATAATTGGTCAGTGCATTCGCCCGGATTGCGAAGGGTGCGGGTTCGAGTCCCGTCTGCTGCCTGGTCCGCGTGGAATTTTCTATAGTTATATTTTCTTTAGATTTTGTCTTAATAATCTCTTATCTATTAGACAAGTCCGTCCGTCCGTCCGTCTGTGGTGCTGTTTCAGCGGCCAAACCGTAAGAGATAGATAAAGAGAATATTTAAGTTATAAGTTAAGAATAGTCTGATAAGACTACAAACCGGATTTGAGTAACGTAGCACTTCCGGTTTTCGAGAAATCACGAATTTCAAACGAAACCACACAAAATCTCCGAAGTTCTCAAATAATTAAATACATTTTTTTTTAAATTGGTGAACATTTGGTTCACTGGTTTGCTAGTGTAATATAAGTACGTATGTGTGTAAAGCATAACGCGATGGGAAGGGCTGTGTGCTGAGCTTGCTATGCGGCGGCGCGGGCGCACGTGACCGCGCTATTCAAACAAGCCGCGTCTGAGTCACTGGTACGTATTGTACTCACACTAACTTCAGACATATATGCATGCAGCCTGATTGTCTTTGTGCAATAACACTGCTTTTACTAACAATATCTGAACTTACGAGAATAGAAGTAAGAAAGAAAGAAAGAAAAACATTTATTGACGACACACATTAACAGTTACAAAAAATGGGTGCGTGTACTTATGTAGGCGCGTGAGAAGTTATCCTTCTTTGGCATCGTTTAAAATTAGTTTTTAATTGCATGCAAATAATTAATTACAATAAATTAATAAAAAGTCTGGAAAAGGACACAGTCAATAAAGTTCAGTTTTAATTTGAAAAAATAAATAAATAATCAAAATATTCAATTAAAATCGCTACTGAATATAATTTATTAGAACTTATGTGATTTGCACTTGTATAAAACTCAAACACGTATTCCGAATATACAAACTAGAAACATGTGGATAAATATTATAAATATGAATACCTATAACTGTTACTTTATTACAAAAAATGAAGATGTGGTTTTTGGTTC